AGGCCGTCCCGTGCCGTGTGTTTGACACCATTTGGTTGAACCATCGCTTTTCGTGGATCGCATGCCTGTCCCCTCGTAGGGGCTAACCTACCCGTGCAGTCATTGGGCGAATAGCGAGCAAACACTCAAAAGCGGTGACCGTTTCGGACAGAAAGACCACAAACGAGAGTCAAACGGGTCTGACGTCTGCCTCTGACCACGACTTGAGTCACGCGAAGGATATATGCGCTCAACGGAAGGTCATCGACGACATCAACAAAGATATCGATAGCATTTGTCTCGACGCCGACGCCAACAGCGACAGGAAGGCCGTCGTCTCACCAGAACGGGACTCAACGCCAGCCATCCCTCACCACAACAGCACCAGAAGCGCACAAACCATACACACGTCGACAGACACGACACATAAACCCTTCGTCAACAACAGCTGTTCCGCCGGAAGTGACCAACAATTGGCTCCACTCGACGACACCAACGGCTCCCACAAGAGTAGCGACGCTATGAATCACGTGACACCCAATGATAAACTTAACCATCAGTTGAACCAAAACAAAGACTCACAGCAACAGAACGACGACGAGATGATGGACACCCATCAGGAGGACGACACCGTCCGCACCGACGGTATTACACACTCACACACGCCCTCTCCTCCCCTTACTGTCCGTCCATTTGTACTCAATTTGTTGTCTCGTTTTGATTCGCAGATATCATAACGTCTCTGAATATCGACGGATCGGACAATAAGGACAGGAATAAAGAGGACGGAAAACTCCTGAACGGCGACTCGGCCTCCAATCAGGACGAAGCCATGGATGAGGAGGGTATGCATTAAAGCCGTGCGGCGCCTGTGTTTGTGTCACTCATTATAATGTCTGTATTGCTTGTGAACGCAGATGAGGCCCGATCTGAGGCCACGTTTCGCTATAAGATCGAGAACTTCAGTAAACTTCGCGACACAACACTGAGTCCGCCGACGTTCGTGCGGAACCTTCCCTGGTATGCGAGACACACCCACTCATCACTCGGTGTTCCCCTTTGAATGTGTGATTGTGTCTAACAAATTGATTGTGTGATTAGGAAAATCATGGCAATGCCCCGAACCAATCAGGCCCACGATCGACAGCCCACCAAAAGTCTCGGCTTTTTCCTGCAGTGCAACGGAGAGTCGGACTCCACGTATGCCTCAATTTGTGATTTACCATTGATTTGAATGAATAATTTTGTTGCTATTTGTATGTCTCGGGGACAGCACGTGGTCTTGTAATGCGACCGCAGAGCTGAAGATTATATCACAAAAGGAAGGCATCGATAATATAACTCGAAGTCCGCTCTCATTGTTTTTGGTTGTGTCCGCAGAATATACTAATTGTCTTTCATTATAGAAATTCAACACATATTTTACAGCAAAGAAAACGATTGGGGTTTCAGTCACTTCCTGGGATGGAATGTATGTCCATTGGATTCATTCACTCGTAAATTGGTGTCCAATCAGTAATTGTATTGATCTCTGTGTTTAGGATATACTCGATCCCGAAAAGGGTCACATCAAAGAAGACGCCATTATTTTGGAGGTCTGGGTCTCAGCGGACGCGCCACACGGAGTCAGGTCTGTCATCGGGTGTCACTTGTGCGCCATCGACTGGCGGTGTGGTCACGTGTTTACTAAAACAATTGTCTGTTTTATTGACGCCCAAACAGTTGGGACAGTAAGAAGCACACGGGTTTCGTGGGCCTCAAGAATCAGGGCGCCACGTGTTATATGAATTCACTGCTGCAGACGCTCTTCTTCACGAACCAGTTGCGGAAAGCCGTGTATCAGATGCCCACCGAAAGCGACGACTCGTCCAAAAGCGTGGCGCTGGCCCTCCAGCGGGTGTTCTATGAGTTGCAGTTCTCCGACAAACCGGTCGGCACGAAGAAGTTGACCAAATCGTTCGGTTGGGAGACATTGGACTCGTTTATGCAGCACGACGTCCAGGAGTTGTGTCGCGTTCTGCTCGACAACATGGAGAGCAAGATGAAGGCGACGTGCGTTGAGGGCACTATACCTCGACTTTTTGAAGGAAAAATGATCGTAAGTGTCGGTTACACGAGTCTGTCGCCTGCGTAACTGTGATCTCATTGTCTGTCTGTCTCTCCCACTCACTCCCGATGACCAGTCATTCATCCGCTGCAAACACGTGGACTGTTCCTCGTCCCGAATCGAACCCTTTTACGACATTCAGCTCAATGTGAAGGGAAAGAAGAGTATCTACGAGTCGTTCAAAGACTATATCGCCGTCGAGTCGCTGGAGGGCGAGAACAAGTACGACGCCGGCGACTTCGGGCTCCAGGAGGCCGAGAAGGGCATCACGTTTGACTCGTTCCCACCGGTCCTACACCTCCATCTCTTGCGCTTTCAATACGACCCGTTGACCGACACGAACGTCAAGATCAACGACAGGTTTGAATTTCCAGAGAAACTGAATTTAGAGGAATTCCTACAGAAGCCGGAGACCACGCCCGCCAACTATACGCTTCACGCGGTTTTAGTCCACTCGGGCGACAATCACGGCGGACACTATGTTGTGTTTATTAACCCCAAAGGGGACGGCAAGTGGTGTAAGTTTGACGACGACGTGGTCTCCCGTTGTACTAAACTGGAAGCCATTGACCATAACTTCGGCGGCAATGACGAGGACGTGACAGTCAAGCACTGCACCAACGCTTATATGTTGGTCTACATCCGGGACAGTGTTATCAGTGAGTGCTTTGAGTGACGCTAAGTATGTTTGACTCGTTTGATGACAATTGTGTGCTTCGCTCGCAGATGAAGTCCTGCAAACGGTTCTCGAAGACGATATTCCCGAACAACTCATCGAACGATTACAAGAAGAGAAACGTCAGGAGGCGTTGCGCCGCAAAGAGCGCAACGAAGCGCACCTCTTCATGAATATCCACGTCTTCACTGAAGACAGTTTTATGGGCCATAAGGGCAGTGATCTCTACGACACGGAGAAAGCGGTTTACAAAGTGTTTAAAGTGAGGAAACAGTCGACACTGAAAGAGGCGGTCGAACTGATTGCCGAACAAATGAAATACCCGATGAGTGCGATGAGGGTCTGGCCCATCATTTCCAGAGCCAATGAGACGATGAGACCGTCGAGTCTCGACTTCGATGGCGAGTGTAACCGACAGATAACTGACGTCTGCGAGGGACAGAACCCGTGGAATATGTTCCTCGAGCTCATCGAACCCGACGCTGACGTCCAGACTCTGCCCGCAATCGACAAAGAGAGTCAGTCTTGAGATTGGGATTGTATTTCAGAGTCGATATTAATTTTGTTTGTTTTTTGCATTTTTTATTCACAGCCGACGTTCTCCTGTTTTTCAAGTTATACGACCCGAAGAATAATTTTATCAGTTATTGCGGCCATTGTCTGCTTCCCTGTAGCGCCAAGACTAAGGATATAATGCCTATTCTTAACAAAAAGGCCGGTTATCCACTCGACACGCCATTGGAGTTGTATGAGGTAAGATTCAA